TCTCTCCAGCAGGACCAAACCTCATGGAACTGATCACGTGATCATTTACCTCACACTGCTGTTGTGTATGTTTAATATCCACATTTGCTTACACGATTTTCTCTGTATTTGCATATTCTTGCATTATTGCCATTCCTCTTATTAAGTCTTAATCACACAGCTCCCCATATACAATATTAAAGTCACTAGCTGCCAGAGTCCTCAGAACCAATACTGATGTTTAGTTAAACCAAACCTAATTTCTTTTTCCTCAACTCTCCTAACCACTACTAACTGCACCCAATCACAGCTGTCCCAGAACACAACTTGCAGCAAGGAGGAACTGCAGAAGAAATGGAAGGGTCTGTGTTTACCATCGGATCAGCTGGAGACCCTGCTGTCGCTGGGCAGCTTCAGCTCAGAAATTGACTGGATGGAGTTTTTYGCCCTGGGCTGCAGCGCTCTGGGAGGGGTGAGATGTTATATAAGGCTAAAAAGAAATGCTAATACCACTTTATACTGATTCCTTTGAGCCTCAAAACCCAACGTGAGGCAAAGCACAGCTGGAGATCCACGAGCAGTGTGACTTTTTTTTCCTTCAGCTTGCAGTCATCTTGTCTTCTAGTGTTTAAACTAGATCCAGGCGTCTGTGATCCAGACCTCTCTCTCTTGGTCCCCAGACCTATTAAGCCCAGAATTGCTCAGAAGATGCAGAAAGAGCAGCTGAGACAGATCAAAGAGAATATCTTCAAGAACTTTGTGGAGAAAGACTTAGATTCTGCAAAAGCAGATCAGCATTTACAACTTTATGTGCTCAGTGTGAGGAGTTTAGACCATTTTGCTGCTGTGAATCTTTAACCACATGAGGGCAGTCACGTTCTGTAATGATATGGTTRYGTGTGAGCTWGCTTCATGTRAGKGTATTTGCAGTGTATGTCTGTGCTCATTCTTAACTGCTGATTGTTTATTTGTGTGTCACTTTTTTGAATGTCTGCTTCTCTTTCTTAGACCCTCATGAGTTCTCTGAAGTTTGCCTGTGAGATCCTGACAGAGGATGAGGAGGACAGTGCTGCGAGGATCCCGTTTGACACCTTTGGGAAAATTTACACTTATCTGGCTCACCTGGACGGAGACATGCAACAGGACCAAATTGACGA